TTACCCTCTTGCATTTGGCATTGTCGATGGAGAGAATGATCTAGCAATGCGTTGGTTCTTCACGAAGTTGAGAGAAGTAATTGAGAACATCGAGAACCTTGCATTTGTGACTGATCGGGGGCAGTCAATAATAAATGGTATAACCGAAGTTTTTCCAGAAGCACATCATGGTTATTGCATGTACCACATTCAGGGCAATCTGAAGACTAGGTACCGAGGCAGTGGCATCGTTGCATTGTTGAGGAGAACTGCAGAAGCTTACAGCTTTGAAGAGTTTACAAAGTTCATGGGCGAAATAGAACATAAATCAGAAAGTGCATGGGAATATCTATCAGATATGGGGGTCGAACATTAGGCACGGTCACATTTTCCAGGACGTCGATACAACATGATGACGTTGAATAATGCAGAGTCGCTCAATGCATTATTCAAAAAGGATCGAGAGTTACCGATTCTCGCAATGATTGAACATATTCGCAGCAAGTTGCAACAGTGGTTTTATAACCGACGTGAAGAATCCCAAAATTGCACGAGTGTGCTAGCTCCGGCACAGGAAGATCGACTATTCAAAACTCTGGAAGTGGCAAAAGCTTTATTTGTGGAACCACTAGATCAATTTCGTTTCTCCGTGAGATGCAGGCGTAATGTTGGATACATTGTAGACTTGAATGACAATACCTGCACGTGTAGAAAATTTCAGTTGAAAAGTTTTCCATGTGCACATGCTGTCGCAGTGACTATGTATAGAGGATTTCCACCACACAGCTTGTGCAGTCATTATTATATGACTGATTTTTGGAGAGCAGCGTATGCCGAAACTATATTTCCTCTACCAAATGAAGCCGAATGGGAAGTTCCTGATTATATTATAGCACTTAATAATTTGTTGCCACCTGAAGCTCCACCGCGTACTCCTGGTCGTAGACGGACGTCTAGAATACCATCTACAAGAGAGTTTCCACAACTGCGTAAGTGCGGGAGGTGCGGCGCTACAGGACATACACGTCGATTTTGTACAAGTCAGATCCCACTAAACAATGAGTCGACGGATGTGTAGTATCTATATAAATCATATGTATTCTCTATTTGTCATGTGTTTGTGATTTTCTGAATTTAAATCGGATGTAATCTTTATCACATTGTTTAATTACTCTTTTTATTTTTATCACATTTGTCATATGTATTTTCTATATGTCATATATTTGTTTGTTTTCTTTTAAAATAAGTGAGACAACAATATATATTAACTAACAATATGGAGAGATTACTATTTCTTTAATTAATTATCTTAATTGGTTAAGTAAAAAAAATATTTCGTTAATCATGTGTTTTATTTATTTCATATTTAATTACTCTATTTCGATTATTTATTTGAATAATATTTATTCGATTTTTCGTTTTACTATTTCTTTAAGTAATTATTTTAATTGGTTAAGTAAAAAAAATATTATTCAATTTAATTTATTCGTTACATATTTCGTTAATTATGTATATTATTTATTTCATATTTAATTACTCTATTTCGATTATTTATTTGAATAATATTTATTCGATTTTTCATTTTTCTATTTCTTTAATTAATTATCTTAATTGGTTAAGTAAAAATAATATTGTTTTTTTAATTTATTCGTTAAATATTTCGTTAATTATGTATATTATTTATTTCATATTTAATTACTCTATTTCGATTGTTTATTTGAATAATATTTATTCGATTTTTCGTTTTACTATTTCTTTAATTAATTATCTTAATTGTTTAAGTAAAAAAAATATTATTCAATTTAATTTATTCGTTACATATTTCGTTAATTATGTATATTATTTATTTCATATTTAATTACTCTATTTCGATTGTTTATTTGAATAATATTTATTCGATTTTTCGTTTTACTATTTCTTTAACTAATTATCTTAATTGGTTAGGTAAAAAAAATATTTTTCAATTTAATTTATTCGTTAAATATTTCGTTAATCATGCGTTTTATTTATTTCATATTTAATTACTCTATTTCAATTATTTATTTGAATAATATTTATTCGATTTTTCGTTTTACTATTTCT